GTCATCGCGACGGCTTCATGGGTGAGATCGACGGGAAATTCCCATGGGTAATCGTCACCAGCGTAAGTGTATTCTATAGATTCTAAAGTGGGGAGGTTAGTCTTTCATGTTTTTGCTTCGACACGTATGGGAGGTACTTGCGATGTTCTGCCGGTTGCAGTCGGATGTGACCATGCCACATGGTGGCAAGTATAGTAAGCATTCCGAACATCCAACCAGCTGCCAGTTCTACTCGAGACATCATGGATACTGATCACCTGATTCTGAAGGTACTAGTAGTAACGCAAGTTCTTGATTATTATTAAGCGCAGGTATCTGCTGATATATGATTAGCACTGCCAACTAATTTGCCATAGCCCTAAAATACTTTACCCCGGTCAAGTTAGAGCTCCTCGTGGATCTCGCATATGGACTGGTTGATTGTCCGGCGCGGCCAAACCTGTCCTTTCGTATGATTCAATCAGCACGTGATTGCGCTGAGTCGAGAGACAGTTTCTACATTTATATACCGCAGAAATTGTTAAGACGCGATGCTCTAGTACGTACGAGATGGGGAGATTGCCGATAAATTTTGTTTTGAAATGTTGATGTTTTCTGGCTTGCAGTCGGAGAATGGATTTACCGGGAACGCCTCCTTCAAGTTCTGTGGGCTGCATGCCGGCGTTGCCACATGGTGATTCTGATGATTCTGATTCTGATGCTGATGCTGATCGCAGCGACTGTAACGCCCACAATGTTGGGCACCTGGGAAATCACCGACGGATAACAGAAATGAAATCGAGCTGCTTTTCCACCTCACCCATGGCAACCAGGCTTTGTGGCATCATGATCTACTGACATCTCCGTCACCCTGAAAGATGTACCGTAAGGTACTGAGGTTAATTCTCTCTGATAATCCAATGTGATAGGTGAGTAGCTGAGCTAGACCAACTATTACCATCATTCATGCACACGGCTAGACTGCAGGATTCAGATGTAGAATGACAACTTCGTTCGTAGAAATATGTGTGGAGTTGACAAAACAACTCATACAGTCGGATCCGATGCGGTCAACCGCTTAACGAGGAGAGACTCCAGTGAGTACTGTTATATGGCGTCCCAATCCACCTGTCGAGCTCAGCCTGATCGACCTGGATCACGCAGACATATTTACGGCTATCTTCGCCATATCGATGGACTAGAATTTGAAAAATTTGCTTAGCCGCCTTATTTGTTATTGGAACAAGCCGACAGGGGCGCTTATGCGTTGCTAACTACTTTTTACAGTAAGTCGTTATAAGTAACCTTAGTTGTATGGGGCGGTACAAATGTTGTAATGAGACATTAGAATCGTCGCAGCGCATGCACACTGATCTCCGACCAGCTGCACATGGTGTTGGTAGCACCGTACTACTAGTACTTAGGTGACCTTCATGGTCAAGCGACGAATCCCTCATCTTGCAAGATACTACAATGTTGTCAATGGTAAGTCATGCTCCTCCGAATCGGATGAGACTCCAGCATGATTTTTCTAGTAGGCCCTATGCTGCTATGCATCAGCGTCGTGGGGTTGGATACCACTCCAAAAATGGTTACAAACCTGGAAGTGCTGTCGTGCCGGCCTTAAGATGTTCAGTGCTAGCACTTTAACCACAAGGTACTGGCAACACTTATGATCAGTACAGCCATACTTGTAAGTCCGCATCAGTCAACTGTTGTGCACTGAATCTGAGTGCCAAGTTCCTTCGTACCTTTGACAAGAATATGAGGAACGACTACTATCCCTGAATTCCAACCACTTCATTTTAGGTGACCCCTCGCCGAGCTGATGTTTAAAAGGACCCAACTACCAATCTCATCTGTATACAACAACGCATTCTAGCCAGCGAGACTTAGCTGACGGTCGCATTCAATACCATGATCCTGCCCAACATCAGCTTCCATATCTTACTCATGTCTGTGGCCTTTGCGCGAATCCCAGCAGCAGTCGCTACTAGTGGCTCGGCATGTCGCAGGACCGGTGACGATGTGGATGGTATAGACTGTGAGTAGATTCCGGCGATGGTGTAGGACTCGACTGATGACTTTGAACCTCTAGCAAAAGAAGGAGCGAGTTGCTTTTAAATCCTCAAGGCAGCGGATATAAGTTGATGTAAAGAATAATGAGACCAGCAGCCGGAACGGTCATCATTTCGTATTTGATTGCTATACACAGTGACAGTAGCCTTCAACAACAAGTTATTTCGCCAGTTAATGGGAACTGTTGCTCTACGACCTGTCCTGGGACTGTGTACGACATAAGGAAAATAGGCAAGTATGGTACGAATAGCCGATAAAGTTTGTTTTGAAGTATTGATGTTTTCTGGCTTGCGCTAGTCGGAGAATGGATTTACCGCTATCTCGATAGAAGGAACTACTCGAACAATCGCTCCTTCAAGCTCATCGTCGATTGCTTCGATCGAACTACAGCAATCGCTCAAGTCAGGCTATTTCAAAGTTGACGGCATATCCTTGCTCGGAGGTGCTACGTTGTGGTGTAGGATCCAAAACAGTAAAAACCTGTAGGTGCCGTCATCCCGGCCTTCAGATATGGGTCAGTACTAGTACTCTGAAACCTTTACCGCTTTACCGCCAGGCAATGCTTTACAGTTAATACAGCCATGTCAGTAAGTAAGTCTGCATCAGTCAATCGCTGTGCACCGAATTTGAACGCCGACTTCCATCTTACCTTTGACAAAAATATGAGAAAATACTATCTCTAAATTCTAATGCAATGTGCTTCACTTGGGTAAACATTGGGTAAACCCTCGCCGAGCTGATGTATAAAAGGGTCCAACTACAATCTCATCTGGTACCATCTTAATCAACAAGTCTTAGCTAACAGTATCATTCAATACTGCCATGATCCTGCCTAAAAACATCTTACTCTTGTCTGTGGCCTTCGCGCAAATCCTAGCAGCACCCATCACCAGTGACTCGGAGTGTGATAGGTGCTTGAGTGACGATGTAGATGGTATAGGCTGTGAGTAGGTCCCGGTGATGGTGTAGGACCCAGTGGCTGATGAATTTGAACCTCTAGTAAGAGAAGTGGGTAATAAGGCCAGCCCGGGCGATATCTTTTAAAGGCTGGATGCAGCGGAGGGTTGAACGTCGATGTAAAGAATAATGAATCAGTAGACGGGACGGTCGTTTTGTATATGATCATCACTATACACATATACATAGTGACAGTGGCTTTCGACAGCAAAATTGTATTACCAATTTATTATTTGAGTGGGTAGTGAGAAATTATACTACTACTAAGACTGTACTTGATGACGATGGCGGAACTCTCTGTAAGACAATACATTTTAATCTAGGGAACCTGTGTCCCACCGCGCCTACATTCAAGGTTCGCACAGTTAAGTATACGCGGACGAAGGGGGAGAAGGGAGTTGTTCTAGTAACGGTTACTAGTTCCGTACGTCGTGCGACTTGACAAATTCAAAGTTATGGAAAAACCATTCCCGAATTTTAAACCCATGCATTGACCCCCTGGGTTGAGCTGGCATTTAAAAGGGCCCAACTAATCTCATCTGGAATAAGGCAACGCATCTTATTATTAACCAGCGAGCTTCGGGCGACGGTATCATTCAACACTATGAGCGTGCTCAACACCAGCTTCTACGTCTTACTCTTGGCTGTGGTATTCACGCGATTCACAGTGGCAGATAAATGTATCGGGGGTGGTGATGACGAAGATGATGGTATAGCCTGTGAGTAGTCCCAAAGTAGTCCCTGGTGATGGCGTAGGACTTGCTGATGAATTTGAACCTCTAGTAAATGATTCAACTGGTGACGCGGGACCCTGCGGCTTTTAAAAGCTCGATCTGGCAGCGCAAGGTTGAAAGTTGATGTAAAGAATGATGGATCAGTAGCCTAACAGGACGGTCATTTCGTACATGATCACTAAACACATATAGAGACAGTAGCCTTCATGAACATGTTAATCGAAGGTGAGGTGACTTTCAAGGTTTGCGCAATCAAGTATGCGTTCCAAACCAAGGGGGAGAAGGGGATTATTCTAGTAATGGTTAGTACTTACCGTACATCACGCGACTTGGCACATTCGAAGTTTTGGAAAAACCATTCCCGAATTCATTCCCCCTTCGCTGAGCTAACATTTCAAAGGGCCCAACTAATCTCATCTGGAATAAGACAACGCATCTTAACCAGCGAGCCTTAGGCGACGGTACTATCATTCAATAATATGAGTGTGCTCAACACCAGCTTCTACGTCTTACTCTTGTCTGTGGCATTCACGCGATTCAGTGGCAGCAACTAAATGTATCTGGACTGATGACGACGTGGATGGTATAGCCTGTGAGTAGGTCCCGGTGGTGGCGTAGGACTTGGCTGATGAATTTGAACCTCTAGTACATGGAGGAAAGAAATGCTTTTGAAGCCTCCTTGATAATGCAGCGACGGGAAGGTTGAAGTCGATATAAAGAATAATGGGATAACAGACGAGACGATGACATCTTGTACATGATGTAGTGGCAGCCTGTAGCCTTCCTGGACAACAAATTAGTATACTACCAAGATTGTGCTGGCTGACAATACATACCGTAGCATTCCAGTATCGTAACGGCGCTCGGCGGCCCCACAGAATCATCTTCTTGCGAGAAAAGCCTATTTGACGTCCAACACCAGCTGGTGTGCATATGCTCAGGTACTGAGTGTACGTATACCTTGTACTAACAGTCAGTGTAATCTCGCGCAGTATCCAATGCTCGTGCGACTTGGGGTGGCAGCCATATACCTTCTTGCGATCGTGAACGATTCGTGATGCTGACTCGGATGCTTAGCAACAATATGTGTCGATGCTGCTCGTTGCCAAACTTGAAGCTTGAACTCACAGAACAGGTAAGTTAATAAATCACCGCTATAAAGTAATACCGTAGATGACTTACCCACGCCGTGTCAGTCACATCAGTGCAATCGATGGACCATCATGGAAACAAGTTCAAACCTAAGGGAACTGCTCAAATCACCGCGGAATGATGGACGATTTGATTGACTGGTTATACCATATGCTACATGCATATTGTAACTCCACGCTCACATGATGTGCATAGCCATCAAATACTTGAGCGCCCATTTCATCCAAACTCCATATCGGCCTCCATAGAACAAGTCCACAGCTTCAAGATTCTCTTCCATGCTGATTTAACGCCGCATTCGCGTGTTTGAAGTTTTGGATGAATATATTTTTCAAGACCGATTGCGAAATCAAGCGTCGAAGAGCCATATATAGCGCTAGCACGACTGATATGATGATCAGCCTCCCAAACACCGCCGTTTCATTTCGGGCGATGGACAAACAGCCGGAATAGTCCATTTTGAACGTCGAAACATCCTTCTTAGGTGTACATAAAGGGTTGCGTCCTGCTCGTTGCTAGCTCGCTCTCGAAACACGCCCCATACGTCCAACTTCCAATGACCGAAGTTACAGGCAAAGTAGATTTCAAAGTCGGAGATGACACGTACCAGACTTGGTACAAAGTCGTCGGCGATCTCACTTCGGGTGCCCACCCTCTCATCGTGCTGCACGGTGGCCCCGGCGTCTCGCATGAGTATATGACACCTCTCGTCGAAATCCACAACAAATGTAACATCCCCGTCGTCTTTTACGACCAGATCGGCATCGGAAAGTCCTTTTTTGAAGGTGTGGCGGACAAGCCCAAAGAGTTTTGGACCGTTGATCTCTTCGTGGATGAGCTGGAAAACCTTCTTGCCCACCTTGGTGTCCAGAATGGCTTCGCTCTTCTAGGTCACTCCTGGGGAGCGATGCTAGGGGCACACTACGCCAGCCACAGACATCCTGTGGGTCTCAAACACCTCGTCATCACCAGCGGAACGCCGTCCATGGCACTGTGGGAACAGAGCACCCGCCAGCTGCTGCAAGCGCTGCCAGCGGATGTGAGGGAGACGATTGAGAGGCACGAAAAAGAGGGGACAACGGATAGTCCTGAATATGAAAAAATGGTAGGGATCTTCTTTGAAAAGCACGTTTGCAAGAGCCCCTGGCCAAAGGTGATGGAAACGTCCTTTGCGGCAATGATGCAACATCCCACCGTGTATCATACGATGTAGGTGATATCTTGACGGACCTGTCTGATATGTACTGATCATGAATTCCAGGAATGGACCGTCGGAGTTTACGATCACGGGAACGCTGAAGTCATGGTCGTGTCTGGATCAGATTCACACAATCACGACACCTACTCTGCTCACCAACGGTGTGATGGATGAAGCGCAGGACGTCTGCATGAGTCCTTTCTTCCAGAGAATCCCGCATGTGAAGTGGGCGCAGTTTTCGCAGCGTCACATGCCATTCTTGGAGGAGGAGGACCAGGCGAGATACTTTCAAGTGGTGGCTGATTTTTTGACATATGCTTGAATAGTTAATCCTGTAAAATATAAGACTGAATGCACGAGAATGGAATGACCAGTTATTTGCACCTTCCATGGGTTCAGGGAAGGATACACAATGAGAGGGCGGCCGTCTGCTATATGTTAGGAGAGCTTAGAGATACTATGAACAAATGAGGTGGCAAAGTGAGATGGGAATCCGGATGTAGACTTTGGTTTGTGTACGGGATTTGCCGAACGCACAACAATGATATTTGTTATTGAGCTTGACACAGTACCTTATGCATTCACCAAAGACATGGAAAACATACTATCAATCGGGGCAGGCGTCGCTCTGCGCGTCGTGCTCGACGTTGCAACAGGCAAAGATCACAAACTCGTAGGTTGGTCTCGAGCAGTCTCTGATTTTTTTTTAAGTATATCTAATTAACTTCGCTGCAAGGCATACTTATCGGACTCTGGGAAGGCGTCGTGCTCTCGCACTTCCTCTCAAAGCACACCCGCTCTCGATCGAGGTCAAAAGACCCATACCTCGCCCTTGCTACGCGCGTAGCAATTGACATTTACTTATCACAATCACTTTCTCGCTTTGCCCTCACATGTGCATGGACGCTGGTCGGGCTCCTCCTTGCAGACGTCGCTCCCGGAATATGGCGCGATACAGGGTTGAAGAATGTTTATAAGACACTTAGGAGGGAAGTGAGATCTATAATGAAGGCCATGCCGCGCTGGAAGGTCAAGAATGACTTCCGGGTACCGAAAATTTCCATCAAATATCCCGTGCGAAGCTTGTTTAGACGTGCTCCACCATCATCTGTTGTTTCGAGTACCCGCGCTGCACCTCCTGCTTCACCCTCCCAACAAATGCACAAAAGGCGCATGCCACTCGGGACGCACTCTGGCCGTCCTGCCCTTTCCGAAACGAATTCTGAGCTCAGTCGCGTCCGCGAAGTCGTCCCAGGTCCATCCCCAGCATTCATATCAACCGCCGTCGATCCCGCATGTCTTCCACCTGTCGATCTGCACTCCCAACATATTTCACACCTCTCCGATGCTGGGCCTTCGAGACACGATCCTATAATTATTCAAGATGACAGCTGGGTGCACGTTAGTGTATCTACACATTCGCTAGAACAAGGGCAGGACCCAGAGCTAAGTGCACTCGACATTCCTCCACTTACATCTGAAAGCCAAACGATCACCGCAAATATCGAAGTTGTTTCTCCAACACCTCGCGTGCACGCCAATGCCCTCCCTAAAATCACTGCTCACCAAGTGCCACTGCCAGAATCACGGCCGGCATCCGTCATGGGCAGCGTCCTCTCCCTATTTGGCGCGAAGAATATACTGAGCCGCGTGCGAAGCGACAAGACTACCTCGGACGTGGGAATCGATGCTACTCAACATCAGGCAAGCACGGCTGAGTGGGAGCGTCCAATTTCCAGACAAGGACAGCCTCAGCCCAGCGCAGTGACAGGACACCGCCGCGTGGGTTCAGGCCCTGGACCGTCAATGCTCAGGCATGCAGATGATGATGATGATGATGATGACGACGACGACGAATCGGTGGTGGGTTCAGTGGTAGGGAAAGGCGCAAGAACTGAGCCAATCTTCGGCAGTAGGTCAGAGTCTCTGTTGGGTACTGGTACTACTGGAGGAGCAGCTTTCGTAGGCGGACTTTCTGCCGAGGTAATTGCACCCGAAGCTTTTGTGGGTGGGTTTGCAGTGGAATATACCAGGAATGAGTTGGCCATCCAGTCAGACATTGCGTCTCAAAACCCACCCGTGCACCCCTCTCAGACACCCATCCTTCCTGACGCTTTAACTACGAGGTCTACAATTACCGATCCTAAACCTCTCGACGGGGTTCACGCATCGAACACTGATGATATCACAGGCATCAACGTCAACACCACCGCCGACAATCCCCTCCCGAACTCCATCTCCAATGCAGACGACCCTGGCAGCAACCATAATCTTGCTCTTACCGCCACTCAAAAACCAGAAAAACCAGGAAAGTCAGAAAGGAAGAAAAGAGGACCTAAGAATGCTATACAGCCATCCATTCAGAACGCCACACCCGGTGCACCTGAGACTACCCCCCAAGACCAGCAGAGCTCTTCCCGTGCTCAAACACCAGGACCTAACTCTCAAAACCCCGCAGGCTCTGCATCAGACCCCGTTCCCACTCCAGATGGTCCAACGCAAGATGCGGCTGTTCCTGTGCAGCATACGACAGGGATAGACACAAACACAACAAAGCACGGGCACATCCGTGGTATGCAAGGATCCGACTTCCCTGACAGCAGCCCTAATTCGCCGCCACCGCCCTTCAAGGAGGTAGGGACGCCTATTGAGCCGACCCTTCTTACCCCAGAGCAGACCGAGCGCGAATCCCTACGTGGGGAATTCTTGATGCGGGAGCTGAAGCAGTTGGAGGTGCTTATCTCGAAAGCGGAGAGTGGGACAGGGCGGGGAAGTCCAAGTGCATTGAGTGTGGAGAGGTTAAATGGGCTTAAGGAGAGGCTTGAGATGGTCAGAGAGAGAGTTGAGAGGAGGGTTTACGAAGGTGCTTCTTTGATTTGAATCCTTTTGGTTTTGGGCACGGTGCTGAATCTTCCACTTTCTCTTACCATGCACAGACCCCTCTGGCGAACTCGAAACCCCACATCAACTCACCCTTTCAGGTATCGACGGCCCGTCAGCCGTTGACCTTGTACATACTGCCATTGTAGATCTGCTCCTGGAAACGCCTCATGCCGAACCATTAGCGGTCGTTGGATATATCAACAAGCAGAAGAAGGGAGGCGGAAAGGCGGGTGACTTGAAGAACGCTGTTGTAGATTGGGTAAAAGAGTGAGTTTTTTACCGCGTTGTTCCGCCCGCTTTTTAGCAGATGGGTTTCATGCTATTTTCTTTCTTCTTTTCTATGTGGCTTCGCACTAATGCCTTACATTGTAGGAACAAGTTCAAGGTCCGGAATGACTTGGGGACACCATTTATTCTGAATATCACGTTTTAAATGTTCATGTATTACACGCCCATTGACCACCATGTCCACAACGCTTTCACCACCAGTGTCGTATTCGCAACTACCCCACGGATGTTTTGTTCATGTGGATTTTATCTCAACCATGCGAGTACCCTACTCCACTAATCATGCCACGATATCGATATCTCACCTATACGATTTCATTACCTGGATACAAACGTTGCTGGACAACGTTGTCTCTGTTCTTTATGCTCTGATTTATGGTCGCTCACATATATGCAGTACAAGTACTGTATTCTTTTGTATATAGTTTTTTATGTTGGGTGAATAATTACTTCAATGGATTTTTGATTGTCCTGTATATATGATTTACGGGACTGCTGGGCATGTGATTCATTGCACATGGGCAATCAAACACTTCGGACTCCGGAGCATCAAAACACCCGCGGTGTGGGTCGAGCATCATGAGATGGACAAGGAAGTTGCGCATGCCGCTCCGGACTCCGCGATCATTTTGGTCTTCAGTGTCTTCAATTGTCGGGTCATCCATTAGTAGCTAACCGCCAAATATCAGAGTAACTTCAGGTCCAGATACTGAGTGTCGAAAAACATTGGTGTACCTCTCCTACGTATTGATAAATTACAGAGACGGGGTTTAGGGCTGATATATAAGCCTTAACACAAAACAAGGAAGCCTATCGAAAGCCTCTTTTCAGTGCAGAAGGTCTATCAGTCCGTGATTATTCGCTTGCTTGTTGTGTCGATAACACGGCGTGTTCTGGACATCCCAGCGATTATGGTACTGCGGTAGCCCGAGAAGCTACTCTCACACCTCTCGAAGCAGCTGAGCTTCCCATACACTGTGCGCACTTGCTGTGCTCTAGCAGCTCGCTTCAGCACCGAAGCGCAGATAATGTGGGTAAGGCCGGGGCTGATTCTGTAGGCCTCTTGGAGCAGACCTACCTCTATCGCTTTTTTCAAGGCTACGAAGGCTCCACATCCATGAGGCGTGCGGTTCTGCTATAAATTCAGCTTGTCCATGCGTATTCCATCAAAATCGTGGGGCTCACCTCTCGCAAAAGTTTCACAATGTACCCCAACATTCCATCTCTCATTTACGTTTTATTGGTACTTCATATTTCGTGTGCCGCCCTCATCATTGTTAAAGACCCAGGTACGAATTATGTTCCAGCTCAGCTGAGTGTTGATAACCTGTGCATAGACGTTGCTCCAGGGATGGCTGGTGTGGATCTTCAGATGTCGCCTGCAGCTATTATCTGATCCCTGTGATAGTTCCCGTTGCCGACACTCAGGATGGAAGACTATGGATAACAGCTGTCCACGACGAAATAACCCCGAGCAAAGGCAAGAAGTCGCAGCTCGTTACGCAGCGGCCTAGTAAACTGATCGCCCGCAGTCCGCGCTGATGGTCGGCATACGGCAGAGATTCAAATGAGTCTGACGCCCCTCGTTGGTGCTCTTTGGCAAACAGGCGTTCACCAGGAAGTGTCACCCAGCCGAGGTAGATGAAATCGCTCGACTTGTTCCTAAGCTACCATTTCTGCTTACTATAGCAGGCAACAACAGGGCAAACGAACCTGAACCGACACCGGCCGCTATTTCTTTTTGGAAGACGGAGGAAATAGCTTCAAGATTGCGTCAGTCTATATGAATATGAATGGTTGCTTAACTAGTGCTTACTAAAAATACAGTGGCTGTTCAACGTGCTGAGGGACCCGTACCTACGCACGTCTTGGGATTACTATTTCAAAGCGCAGTTCATGACAGAATCTCCGATCCTTAAAGCAAGCAGTCTAGCAACCCGGATGCCCTTGCGCAATAGACTGACAACGATCAAAGAACTATTTCATTCGTGAAGGGTATCACAGCAGTTGAAAAGCATTCCCCGAGTCACAGGCGGCTCTGGAAGGGTTTAGTCAATGGGAAGATTCAGTGAATTTCAACTACTCACTATGTACAACATTTCAAACCAGTGATTCGAAAATGAGTTATCTGCATTAGCGTCAGCAGCTTAGGACAGTTGAAGATGCAAGAAATTACAAGTCTTACCACTTTGAAGTGCTGACATTATCTCGTTCGCAAGTCTAAGTGCGTGCATTGGGGAAACATCATCTGTATCAGTCTGCAATTATGCACTGTTTTGTAACCTTCTGTCACGTTAACCCCGAAGATCGTGTTTCAAAAATAAGCTGTTAAATGTTTTAAAAAAGGCGCATGACAGAAGATGGAGACCGACACACGGCACTCAAGGACGAGAACATGTCCCCATTAATCAAATGGCACAAACCGCTGTTACTAGATGTCTAGACTTGCGGACAAGAAGGCCTGGTGAGTCAGGGTTGTATTTGTTTTCCCCGTGAGTAATGACCAATGTATAGCTACAGACTGTAATGTAGTCTTTGACCAAGTTGAAATGTTTGGATTTGGAAGAGCGCCGAAACACGGAATTTTCCGGTCGGCTTTCTGACGTCACTGCATGCGGCCGCTTTTTCTGAGAGTGATGACCGTATCAATTTGCTATCGATGGCCAAAGTACTCAAGATGAAGCCTGCTAAAGCACCCTGGTTTGGCTTGAGAGAGGGCGCATAGTCAGACAGGAACAATACGTATCCCGCTCGAAAGGTGTACATGGTGCGAACCCCAATCATTGTTTTTGGAAATTGCTAAGTGTAACTTGTGCGGTCTTTCTTTACTGATAGCCAGCGCCCTGGACCGTGGAACGCGGTGCATACTACACACCGGATGCGTACAGGTGTTTCCAACGAATTGGTGTGATCGTGCGCTGATGGCAATGACAAGTCACTACTCCAAATCCCGGCAGGCTGCGGGGCACAAACGACACGATGACCGGACATGACATGTACAGAGTCCGAATGAGCAACTTCCTAAAGTAAGGATGACAACCGAAATGACGGTGCCCCACTGCAAAAGACTATCTTTTCACCAAGGTAGCAGTCTCGAACCCGTTCGCACAGGTAAGTAGTGTTAACGAGAGGGTCAACTCTTGGTTTCTCCTAAGAAGACGAGAGCGATGGGAGACAGTTGTCCCCGCTGACCACCGATACTGAAAACGACTCCAAAGACGGGCTGCGCGCATCTGGGAGAGCAGTCTCGAATGAGAGGCAAGTACAGTTCTCTATTTTTATTTTTCAGCTCGTGGTCGTTACAATGACTACCACTGACTTTCAGGCATCAGCACCGGTCACGCACTCACGATAAACTAAACACAGGATATCTAAATCCTCTCGCGCGGTAGGCTATCATGAACCATACTTGGACGTGAGCCGGTACCTCCCTTTGCGATGCCCAAAGTTGCCGTATCAAAAACAAACATAGTTTCTGCACTTGATAGGACCGATAATGAGCCTAGCTTTTACACCATGTCAACGCAACCTCACGCAGTGCATATTCAGGGGAAATGACATACCGTATAAATTGGATCAAGACTCCACGCAGTCCTTTTCTCGTAGTTTCCCTGCGTGTCCCAACATCGTCTACATAAACACGTCTGTCTCATTCAATCTCACTAGTAATATGTTGACCTTGCCTCGCTTCGCGGTTGCTCTCGCTCTCGCATCCTCTATCTTCGGTGTTACTATTCCTGCAGTACCCTCTCGCCGCTCCGGGGAGCTTTGGGAAGGTTTGGAACACGAAGAAGTAGACCTAAGAGGTCTAGCACCCTCTCGCCGCTCTGGGGAGCTTTGGTTGGGAGCGGAACATGAAGAGGTAGACGTGTCTAGCACTCTTGCACTGATCTGAGGAAGGAGGTTTTCCCTTATATTGATGTTTGAGGTCAGTTCCTGCGCGAGCCTCACGAATCTAGTCCTGAAGCACTTCTTACAGCTATAACATGTCGTCCGTGGCTTGGTATTGATTGATCATGAGCGAGGGGCTCTGTGCTGTTGTATATACAGCATGTGGGTAGCTTGGTCCGACAGACAGGCCTCTGTCAGCATTTCCAGCAACCCTTGTATAATTTTTTTGTCACTTTCATTCTACAGTTGCGAGCACCCTATATATCTATACTAGTGCTGATATGGAACGAGAACGAATGAACTAGATGACGAGACTATTTAATATAACTGTATGTAAATTTGAACTGTCACAGGCGCTTTTAGCCCTCGTTGGCATAGATAGAATTCTCCATCATGGTTTTCTTTGATCATGAGTTAAATATCGTTTGGTTCCCATGTATCTGCTGTGCGATTCAGAGTGTCGAGTGCGGAAGCGCTGAAACTTTGTGCGATGACTTGGATCAACGGCAATAATATCTGAGCTAAAAATTGAAAGAGATTCCCCCAAGCTGGAGTACTTCATTCAAGCTAAAGCGCTAAAGACGGGAGTTGCGGTCGAAATGGCAGTTACCAAGTAAAGTAGAATTTTTGCTGACAAACAGTCTGCTTTCCATACAGCCAATGCAATCGGTAATACACCTGACATTTCAACTTCATTGAGCACTATTCTACTCAACATTCCTTGTAACTTGTTGTACATAAAAACTCGATTCTGCAAAGTGGTTGCCTTGTATACAGTGTTGTGAGTCAACACGTGAAACAAGTCTTACTAGTTATCATAGCGGTGTGGTTCAGAGTCCCTGCGTACATCACACGGTGAGTTTGATATGATTACACTCAGTGTGAAACAAGGCTTACGCGCCCATGCTTTCCTGGGTCTGGTTCTGGAGTCTCTTCCTGAATACATTGTGCGATGAGTTTAACATGATGAGATTTGATGCGAGACAAAGCTTACACGCCCAGTGACTACTGCCTTTCCTGGGTCTGGTTCTGGAGTCTCTTCCTGAATACATTGTGCGATGAGTTTGACATGATGAGATTTGATGTGAGACAAAGCTTACACGCCCAGTGACTACTGCCTTGCCTGGGTCTGGTTCTGGAGTCTCTTCCTGAATACATTGTGTGGTGAGTTTGACATGATGACATTCGGTGAAATAAAGCTTACACGCCCAGTGACTACTGCCTTGCCTGGGTCTGGTTCTGGAGTCTCTTCCTGAATACATTGTGTGGTGAGTTTGACATGATGACATTCGGTGAAATAAAGCTTACACGCCCAGTGACTACTGCCTTTCCTGGGTCCGGTTCTGGAGACTCTTCCTGAATAGACTATGTGGTGAGTTTAACATGATGACATTCGGTGAAATAAAGCTTACACGCCCAGTGACTACTGCCTTGCCTGGGTCTGGTTCTGGAGACTCTTCCTGCGTACATGTTATGGTGAGGTTTACACGTTTGGTGCGAAGCAAGGCTTACGCGCGCAAGTGCTAAATAATTGGCCTATGTATATTGTGAGCTCAAGGTGAGACTGACGCGAAGCCAAGCTTACTCGGGTCATCACGAGAGTGCTACGCTTGTCAAGAGGAGCAGCGTGGCGAGCAGCCTGCAGACATTGTATGGCAATATGATAAGATTTGACGCGATGCGAGGCTTACTGGTACTCCAGCGTTGACAAGGGCCGTCAAGCCGAGGAGAACAACGAAAGTAGTAGAGAGGCGGATAAACATGATGGTGAGTTGATTTCACTTGTAGGGAGGTTGTTGACAATTGACTGTGGATGCTGTCTGTTTTATACTCCACAGAAGAGGACGTTATGGAGATATGCTGATACTAGTGATGAAATTCCACATGGGTATTTGTTCAAAGGGGTCAGCTATCGAAGCATCGTACGTGTCCCAAGTCGATCCGACAATTGAATACTGTTCAAATTGCTGTAGGGACGCAAGGTTCGTGACATAGCCGGACCCTGAATACATTGCGGAATTTGCACTTTTGTTTCTATCAAGAAGCCTCGACTTCCAATTCCAATTTAGTGGGAAGAAGGCTTTGTATTGAAACGAATGTATACCCATCTGTCCTATCATGACTCACTGTCCAGCTGGCCGATGTAACATAAGTCGTCAACAACCGCCGTTCTGGCACCAGTTGCAGCAATGCATGACAAACGTTCAATGAGTGGTAGTATTACCATGTCAGCGGGCGCGAGTTACTAACCTTGTGTACTGTATGCAATATACATATGTCGGGTCATGTTGGGATCCGACGAATCTGAAGGAGAAAAGGCCGAAGGAACTAGAGCCGAGGGGGAGAGGCAGCAACCGGCCGAAGGATAGAGCCAGTTTCGAGGACACCAAGTGCGAGCGCATCCAAACGGAGAATGAGGACGACATGACATGGTCAACTCGTGCGCTGTCCATCTTTTAGTTTATTTCAGCGTATATGACTGTACCTGGGACACTCACCTTATAAGCCCAGGTACCCGCATCCAAGCATCTCAGTTTCAACTCGAATACTGAGATATTCGTACCTTTGTGTCTAGCTTCGCGTGACCGTCTCGCAATGCTCACAATAGGTCACAGAATAGGCATCGAGCAACGTGTAGCGCTGCGAAGATTGCATGCTGGACAGCAGAGCAGGACCAGGTAGAGCTATTTGTTTTTTGAGTGTCCGAGCAAAAAAAAAACTAATCCAATAAAACATGAGAGTCAACAATCAGATTGAACGTGTGCGTTGATTCACGGTAGGCCAGAATGAGACAAATAATCTACAATTGACCTTGAAGGTTGCAAAATAACGTCCCCGCTACGGCAGTAATGGGTTTTGTGGTGTCACGGTTGAAAAACTCGTAGTATATATACACGATACAGGAAGCCAGCTACAAACATTTACATATACCCAGTATTAATCGTATCATAACACCCATCTCCCTTCAGCTTGCAACCCGGATGCCCATACTTTCTGCCAATCTGGATGAAGACAGGATAGACAAGTCGACTCAGTACAAAAGTGCACCGGATGATCGGACACCACAACATGAACGTCGTTTAAGGAAATAAAATCCTCATCAGACACCTCGGCATCAACATCTTTCAACGAAAAAAAAAACCCCTCTTCGACATCTTTGGACCCTTGTACCTCGGCGGGTACGCGGCGGCCCCTGAGCCTGGAACCAGGAAGCGTCAACAGTTCCGCGTGTAGCTTCAGTTCCATGCTAGATTCGTGTATATCGAATGGGAGTTTGACTTGGGGGAAAACCAAAGAGACTCTTTCGAGTCTCTCGAAAGAACCCCACGGAACGTACTCCATCCACAGAGGTGCAGCGTAGCTTTGACATCCAACACCGCACATAGTCCGAAAAAGGATGTGTGAAGATATGTCACGCTCATCGGGAGGGATGGCGATAAGGTGGGTGATGGATGCCAGGAAGGCTGATCCTGACGCAAGCCTCGTCATGTCCCATGAATCACAGGTGATCCTCGATAACGTTAATGTTTTTATGTTCCACGGAAGTGGCAAACATCCACGGTCTATGTTGTCGTCCATACGGCCCCATGCGAGCTCTACACAGTATTCCAGGAGGTCTAGACACCAGAACTCGATCGCTAGTGACGATGCGCTCAGGAGTACTGGAGCGATGAGCTCAAGGTCTGACACAGGCTCAGAGGTAAAGCGGCTGTAGACGTGAGCGTCTGAGGGACGCCCACCACAACGCTCTCCAAACCAGATGTTGCGTATGTAAGGTGTGTACTCGAAACGAAGAGCAGGATAGGTGTGAGCGTATTCGTTCTGCATATGTAGAGCATGCAAGAAAGCTGGCATGTTACGAGAATCCAGTAATACTGTGTGCAACATTATAGGCAGTGCAATGTGCCTAAAAGCGCGGGAGACGAGACAAAGTTCACGAGCGGTTGAGTACAGATTCATCAGCTCATATTCCTCGTCTTGAGTAAAAGTGGGTTTTGCAGCATCTTGTACGATGATGGCGACGATCTCAGCGGGAAGGTCGTTAAATGAAGCTCGGGGGGTAGTCTCCATGGTGGCTGAGTGATATGGAAAACCGGTCTGAACGAGCCCTCATTTAACACCTCGTGAACAATGGCAGAAGAAGTTGAACAGCAGTGGCCCGAGCCGCGTTGGAATATTGTGGGACCACAAGCTATGACAGTCCATGCCACAGTTGTTGCCCCATTTAGTCGCATAATGTGGTCTGGCTCTGTGGAAATATTGGTTATTACTCGATGCAGATGTGGGATGAACCCTTGAGAATCTACGTACACGAACTCATTCATCGCATGGCACAACTCTTACATAGTAGTCGATTGTCGAGTTGGACTACTCCATAGCAAATTCTACTGCTGCTTGATTAATGGAGCAACTGCGATATCCTATTGATAAAAAGAACACCCACCACCACCAGCATCACTGGAACGATGGATCCACTCCGTCCGATTGACACATGGCTTGTATGTGTCATCACTAGGACTCCCAAGGAGGGGATTCTGGAGCGAGAGAGTTTGAGGGTAATAGAATGCTTGGTTTTTCCATGTGCGCCCAAATAAAGTCTATGGTTCTCCGACGTACGAGTCACAATGCATCGACAGAGTTGAAAGTATCGCAGCCTCTATACCCTTGCTCCGTTCAGTTACGCACAACTACACAGGCAGTTGTGTGACGAAAAATCTTCTTCTACAAAGGTATCAACAACTTGAAGTAACGTACGGCGCCGATCAGCTACTGCTCGAGTGTTGTGAATCATGTCGAAGAGCGAGGATTTGGCCGAAGGGCCTCCAAGCTCCAGTATGCATGCCTTATTTTGTGATACTTCTGCCTCGATCAGGGGTCTCACTGAGTAGAGTGGGCGCTGCTGTGAACTGCAGAGTCCTATCGTATTCAAGCGAACAGCTGAGAAACAGAAAAAGGTCTCGACCTCGCACTGGAAAATGTTTATAATCGAATGTCAAACATACGAAGCGATATCCCAAGAGCAATGGTCAGCACCCCAGCACGCGGGAGGCTAGCCATGTGTTTCTTTCCCGCGAACCATAAATTCCAGATGGTAACCAATGAGTTCGAGGCGCGCTTAGAATAGAGTTTGGGGTGAATCGTGGGGCAGGTGGAACATGAAGTAGAGTATGTGGTCGGCTTCTGCAAGTAGGGTATTGGCATCGTCTTGGGCCTGAAGAGCCAGTAAATAGTGTATACTTTTGCCCTGTCTACCTAAATAGGCGCGACGTCGAGCTTGACTGTGATTGACTTTCATTTGTAAATGCGAGGCTTGATGGGTCTCGATTTCAAATACGATTCGGAAAGCCTTTAGTAGGATATCCTGATGCGAGTCTGAAGTTCTCTATAGCGAGCGCCAAATCAGCAGGGTCGTGTATAATCCGATAACGAGATAAATAAGCCTTCTGCAGCCGCATGTAGGTGAAATACCTGTCCGGGTGTAGCGAAGACAGAGCTGCCAACGATTCTTGACAAAGAGTAATGGCCTCCCAAACATCTTCGTTCTTCTGAGTTTGCGTGAAACGAGAGCAGAGTGCCGAGCTCAAATCCAAAAGAGTTCTATGGTGCTCTGGATCGCCAAGCCGCTTTAACCGAAGCGATTCGTGACACCGATCAATGGCCTCGTTAAGATCCTCACTAACATACAATTTGTTATATCTGATTTCGAGCGCGAGGGCAAGGTTGTTAAGTGTGATGTCACGATGTGGATGCTCGGGTGGGTGTGATGTCAGTGCCTCGCCAAGGAGGCTGATAGCTCGATTGATGTCGTCAAAATCGTTGCGTGTGTTGAAACGGGCGACGAGGGCGAGCCCTAGGTTGATCAATCGAGACTCGTGTTCAACAGGACGCAGGCGCAGCGCTTTTTCGTGCAAAGATATGGCCTCATCAAGGTCACTAGGTTTGCCTTGGTGCCTGAAGCGGGACGCGAGTGTACAAGCAAAGTTGTTCAAGTAGAAATCACGGCTAGCATGTCCCTCGGGGTGCAGAGACACGGCTTCATGACCAAGCCGTATGCTCATGTCAAGATCATCGATGCTACCGTGCTGGTCAAGGCGTGCTGCAACTGCATGTGCAAGCTCAATGAGGGCTCTGGGACGAAGTTGATGGCCTAGAGGACAGAGCTCGAGGACGACGCTTCGAAGGTGGATGCCTTCATCAGATGCGTCTTTTGGAAGATTGTTGCATCCGTTGATCACATAATTGACACCATTTCTCCCTGCCGCAATGCTACGAAGGTATGTGCCCTTTGGACAGAGAGGCAGTAGCTCATGATAGAGTTGGGCGGCTTCGCGGATGTCGGCAGCGGTACTTTTCTTGTAGTGGCGCCAAGTCAGCGCTCCTAGAGGGTGAGATTGTATAAAGATAAGGATGATCGGGATGGCGCCGCGGACGCAATGCAAGGGCGTCACGGAAGAGAAGTGGTGGCATCGATGTCTTGAAGATCATTTCAGGCGTAGCCTTCAAGGCGGGCCCATGCGAGGTCGATGAGAGCTGTTGTGTGGTCAGGGTGGCTGACCGGACACTAGTCCGGAACCAACTGAAAATGCTCTACAGAAGCATTCAGGTGAGAGACTGTCTTGCTCGTCGCATGAGGCAAATTGTGCGTGGCCCACATCTATCTCTCGAGCAATCTCGAAGTCTACGAGCGACTATAGTTGGTGTCCCGTTTCAGGAAAAGCTAACAGGACAGAGTGCGATGTTCACATCAAACAGTGCACTATCCTGATCGTCATAATGTACAACGGCAACCTTCAGTGTGATGGAAGGGTGAACGCCTCGCACGAGTGGGAAGGATAGATCTACGAGATGTCAATATATGTGCATGCATGAGAAGCAAATCATTCACCAAATAGCTCATCCCACGACATTTGGAGTTCTCCGATGAGCTCTCCACCACCTGGTATTCGACCGAGCTCATAGGATGCTCTGATCTCCATTGATATCACTGGTAAAAAAAATGTGATGACCTATAAACCAATTATCAGCGTCAGAAGGCCTCCACGGACTTTACAGAGTTACAATATTACCCCATGCTACAGATTCGTGGGATGATAAGACACTAATGGCCAATTTCCAGCGTCTCCTCAGGTCGACATTGATGGACACATAAATGCCAGCGGGAATGCGCCAGGAGGGGACTCGAAGATTCTTTCCGTTGATGACTGTAGATAGAGTGTGAGGTTCATGAAACAGATATGAAGGTGATATAGAGAAACTCACCTTCAAGTCTGATATATTGGCTTTCTGAGCTACCAGGCATGATATTGCGATGGAGAAAAATGATGAGGATCAAGGATGGGCTGAGTGGTGGACAGAATGAGTGAAAAGGGAAGATAGGGGTAAGGATATGAGGACTGCGGGATAGAGTTCGGCTGAGTAGGAGGTTGAGGCTTGGGATTCAGATCATGCCGCATGTGTATTTCCACAGGTCAACGTTCAACGTTCAACCCTGAATACAATCGATCACTGTTATCACAAGTGGCGATGTCCCTGTTAGCATCCGGTATCGACATTGTCGAGGGCTGTTCGGCACGACAGACACTGGTATGACTTGAACGAAAGCACACGAAAGCACGCGAGTCGCCCTCGGACGTCTTATTGATTTATAAACGTTCCTGTTCCTTTCAGGTATAGCCATTCAATGCCCGCATCCAGTCTCCATCACTTTGTGCAGCAAGAAGGAATCCAAGTGAGGAGAGGCAAGAATAGGAAGGTGGTGCCGAGAGAATAGTGAGGGAATGAGATTCAAACACTCTGATGGTGAAGAGAACGCGTGGTCTAACATGCTAGCCAGCAGTCATCGTCGCAATTATGAACGCGGATCTATCAAAGATGAAGTCAACAGTTTATCGAATAACGCTTAGATATGTCTTGTACCATAGTCATTATCGAGCATCCTACGCAGTGAGTGTGGCAGATAGCGGATTAATAGGCAATAAAAGCATCTGCTGTCCGTCAAACGACTTTGCCGCAAGCGTTATAATTTCAACATGTCACGAGAGTTTGAATTGAATCGACGTTTTCGGATCAAGACGGCTGAAGCGCTGAAGCGTCACGACTCACATAATACTGTCCGACGTGACTTCACCCCTTGGATCGTATCTACCTTCTCTTCAACTATCATCCGCATATATATGATAGTCCCTCTGTCGCCCAGCCAACCATTCAACTGGTTGCTCTTCCAACGACTCGGTTGTATACTACACGAGCCCACGCTCAGTCCTCTTGCTGCCTTCCGCGCTGTCCTGGGCAAGTAAGGGCTGAATTGCTAAGGACAACGACTTGTCGGCAAGTTACATGTGTGATACAACAAGTGTAATCTAACATTCCCATCACTCTCGTCGAGAAAATAGTAACAACAGCAAGGAGGGAGGGTGTCCTTGTCGGGGGTATCGTATTTTGTACAGTCTCCATTACACTGTTATTACAGTCGAAAGTTGCCCACTCTCAGAACGAATTGAAAATTTGTTACTGCATCGTCAGCGTCAGCATCACAATAACAGTCATGCATGTTATTGAAGCCGAATAAACTCACTCCGCGTTAAACTCCTTCAATAACTTTTCCACAGATTTCTGCTTGGCCCCCTTTGTATAAGGCACTATGATTTTGATCGGTCCAGCGTCCTGCCGCTCAAGAAGCAAATCGATGATCGTATTCGTCAGAGCGCTGGTGAGATCCTGAGCATTTTTTCCAGAAGAGGGGATTTCGAAAGCGGGTGGTGGGTATCTGGGTGGGTCTTTGTTCGTGGTGGGTAAGACAGTGTGAGATCTAGGGAACATGAACGTACCAGCGAAAATAATTCTTGAAATTCTTGCTTTCACGGCACTCAGACGGGCCTGGGTCTCAGAAGAGCACTGATCAGAAGAGTTCATTATCTCCCGTTTGCGTGATTCCTCGAGTTGGGTTACTTCTTTAAGTAGGAAGGCATGGCGGTGGGTTTCAGCCTCTTCTTGGGCAGGAGTGAGACGCGTTGGCTCCGGTTTGGGGCCAGAGTCTGGAGGTAAAGCTTTGGCTTAGTTCAAATCGCCTTAGTGGACACACATACCTGTTTCTTGGGTATCATCGCCTGCGACTTGGGTATCACCACTTGCAAGGTTGGCAACTTCGCATGTGGCTTGGCTATCATCGACCGGTCCCTGATTACCTTGTCCACTCTTTTCTCGCTCTTGACTATCCTTGCCGTTCTCTCGAGCACAATCCTCTCGATTCGGGCTATCCGCACCTCGGGCATTGTCCCCAGCGTTGGAAGTCTCAATGTTCCCTTTGGTATCCCCACCGGAGTCTTGTCCACCCACGCCATCCGCATCTCCGATATTCGTGTTTGTAATTGCCTCTTCTCCTTCCCCTTTGGAGACCTTATCCTGCTCTTCTCCTTTCGCCTCACCCTCGGCAGCTGGCGGCTTGGTAACAGCACCCTGACCTTTAGAACCCTCCGTGACCTGTTCGCCTGGTCGCTTCCCATCATCAATGCCTGCACCAAAATTCGCCCCACGCGGATGCACAGGCGACTCGAATTCTTTGAATGGCGGTGGCGGATCATAAATATCGGCACCGTTGGTATCTAAGGGATTAAACATCCCCGTGGTAGATTCATTACGCGCTCCCACATCTGGGAAAATTGGGTCTGGATCTGTAGATGGAGATTTGAGGCCTGGCATAGGACGAATTGGGTTCGCAGGGTCGTAATCGGTATGGTTGCGGATGGAAGTGGATGTAAGACCTGGGCTTGTACACCTCGATTTGGATGTGGGCAACGGTGTGTGGGTCCTGGAGAGAGGTGCAGGTGTGGGGGTCTTGGATAGAAATGCAGGCGTGGGTGTGGTGAGTGGCGCTGGCGGCATCGGTGTATGGGTCCTGGAGAGAGGTGCAGGTGGTGTAGGGGTCTTGGATGGGAGTGCGGGTGCGGGTGTGGTAAGTGGCGCTGGCGTTGGGGGTTTAGTGGGTGGCGTTGGCGTTGGGGGTTTGGTGAGGGGTGCTGGTGTTGGCGGCTTGATTTGAGGTGCCGAAGCGGGCGCTGGGTCTGGGAGAGTAGCGGGGGTCTTGGACGGGGAGAGTGGCGTACTCAAACCAAGCGCTGAGCTCGTGTGCACACCGTCACTACCAGAATGTGCTTGAGACGTGCCGGAATGTTGAGGCATCTGCCCGTCCGGCAGTATTGCAAACCCGCCGATTCCAGCAGCACCATCGGACAGGATGGTCTGTTCAAGATGACGAAGCATCGAGTGTTCCCATTTGCTGCTGTGTCCTGTCGAATTCGGCTGGTTACCGAAGGTAGGATTATTTTGTGCCGACACCCCCGCTGAGCTCGCCCGTTGATGAGGTGGCACGTGTGATCTCCCAATATCGGGGCCTCGATCTTTACCAACCTCCCTGACGCCGGTGCCAATATTTTGGTTCGATATGCCCGCGCCAAAGTTGGATGATAGATTCATTACACGGGAAGCAGGACGTGATTCTAGTGGTAGAACTGGTGGCGCATGGACAGAGAGATCGATCTCAGAATCTGAGATGTGAGGGAGACTTCTAATATATGAGCGGGGGGTAGGGGAGATGATTTCGGATACGAATGTTATTCCGACTGTAGCTACGGGTGGAGTTAAGTCGAGCACGCTGAGGTCTGCACCCTGTTCCTGCTCTTGTTCTTGCATATGGGACGGCACGGCAGTGTGTACCCGGTCGTCATCTTGAATCGGTATAGCCTGGTCGTGCCTTGAAGAATCAGACGTGTTAGAGAGAAGGGACGAGCGAGGGGAGGGTGTGTTTGGGTTGAAAGGAGGAAATTCAGGCTCGACATCAATGTGAATGAGGGCCGGGGAGGGTCCTAGAACAACTTCACGCGTAAGAGTGTTCGTCACGAAAGAGGTTACTTGGCTGGAGGGCAAGTTTGATGTTGAGCGTCTCTGCCGGATCGGAGCTGGGGAAGCTGGCGGGGCAGCACGCGTGCTTGAAATGGTGGATGCTGGAGGACTAGACAAAAGATCCGGTACACGATTTGAAATAGATATGTTTGGAACTTGTATATCGTTTTCAATCCTCCATCGTGGCATGGATCTCCTCATAGCTTTGACATCTTTCCTTAACGCCCTGTATACATGCCTCAGCCCTGTTTCTCGCAACACGCTGGGCGCTACGTCAGCAAGGAGGAGCCCAACGAGTGTCCATGCGCCAGTGAGGGCAAAACGAACTAGCGAGTTCGTGAGCAAAAAGTCGATAACGAACCGAGTCGCAAGGGCAAGATAAGCATCATTAGGATTTCGTGGATTTTTATGGAGGAAATGCGACAGCACAAATCCTTCCCAGAGCCCAACAAGTGTACCTTGAATAATAATAATTAGATGGGCCATATTGACTTGTAACAAGACGCACCAGTAAGCCTATAATCACTGTCAGTCACGATGTCGATGACACTGCGTAGGGCGAGCCCAAGACCGATGGCGATGATATTGTCCATATTATCACATACGTCGTGGAGGATGACGAGCCCGATCAGCTTAGCGGACCTTGCAGCTGTTTAATTTGTGATCGAGCAACGATCGGATCGCGACTCGAAGCTTCAATATCAATTATCGCACGGACCTATGTGTGCAAACAAGAACAAATTACATGACGACTTGACCGCTTAATATTAATTCCGACTCGCATGTCATCACATGAATCATCGACTTGCTTCTACCGTGCCCTAGCAAATCCTTCCATCGACAGACTCTCTGGTACATGTCCACCGCAATCATACGTTTTGTCCTCCGTGACAACTATTTCGATCTCCCCACCCACTTTGAATGTATCATAGAAACTAACGTAGCATCTACTTTTCGCAGGCACTCCATTGATCGTCACATTTTTCACGTACGCGGGTACACCATCGGGTATCGGGTACGCCACAGACGCAGCAGAGTAGTTGGTAACAGTTACCGTGGTACTGGTGTTGAGGTAGGCATTGTGGATAGTATATTTTGGCGTGAAGGGCGAGACAATAAGGTAATGCGCCGTTGAGGGAACTGCATCCCAGTTAATTGTATGGATAGGTGAACGAATGGGGAGCATACCTGGGTACAATCCTAAGAGATGAAACCCGAGGAGTGTTGCCATTGCGGCCTGATCGTCGTTTCCAGGAAGACCCGCAGTTTCTGGATCTAATTCAGCATCACTCCATGTCAGCTAGCTACTCCAATCTTACCGATATTGAAATTGTTCATGACAACATCGCGGACACGGTCCACAGAACGCCAAGGTTGGTTGGCATAGTGGTATCCAATAGG